GAAGTGATATCGCAAATAATTTTTAAACGTAACCTCTCTTCGCTATTATAAGAATCGAGAGCAAGGTATCACAAACCGCTACTCGTCAGTGGTTGGAGGTTTTCAGATGTAAGTTTGCGGTATTATCAATTCGCAGGTATGCAGACTCTGCCATAGAGACAAACCGACTTACACTGGCCAACCGGTTGTACTATCCGGACTTTAGCGTGCTTGATTACCAGATATTACAACCTTAACACCCGCAGCATTAAAACATACTTTTACATATTTATGAAAATACTTACAATCTGATTACCGTATGATGAATAACAATACACTTTATAGATCTTATAAATAATGGAAATTAGATATACATGTCAATTAATATACCAAACGTTACAAAATATGATTCTTCATATTATGGTTAATAAATTGAAATGAATACTATAACATGATGATTATTAGGAATGATTATATATGTATACGATTACTTATCGTTGCACCGTTTATCCCGTAAAACAACAGAATTAAGTCCATTACAGAACGGAATAAAACATTTTATCCCTAAATTTCACGGAACTTCCTTGTCATTCCACCGTTTATTCCGTAAAATAACAGAATTAAGTCCGTTATAGAAGGAATAAAACATTTTATCCCTAAATTTCACGGAAATTTCCTGTTTAATACTGAATATTCCACAGAAATACATAAAACACGTAATTTGAAGAAATAATTCAGACAATTAACACAATTTCTCCAAAAAATACATCGATTAACAGAAAAAAGGTGTTAAATTACGGAATTCGGCCACATAAAAAATTGATATTTTTTACAGTGTAGTGTGAGATCTGCTCGAACTTTTATGAATATTATTTTAACATATTATTTTAGTTTTTAATTAATGTTTACTTGAAATTTTTATATTTGTTTTTATTCCCATGTTATTGTTTCAATTTTACTAAAATTTTTACAGTTTATTTATATATGTATGGATGTAATGTAATGTACTACTGACACAAACTGGTTTCAATACTATATGTATATATGGATGTTTGGATGGATGGGTCATATTGTTATATTGTAAGGCGCCCCTGAAGACATTTGTGAAAGAAGAGCACTATATCAAATTATTAATAATAATAATAAAAGTTAAAATTAAATATATCAATGTATATGCAGGCACGGAAACAAAGCCCCTACCACGATCCACCTTTTTGGACCAGGAACTGGTCAAACGCTACCAATCTTGTTCTTATCTTTCTTCTTGGGGTAACACTCTTCGAAAAAGCTAAGGTTCCGTCAATTCAAGTCCGATCGACATGAAAATTGGCATGCTTCTTCTTTGAACAATACTGCATCGATGTGGTGAATTAGATTGTTGAATTACATCCAACAACTTGGTCAGTTCCTGGTCCATAGTACGATCATACTTGCTATTGACATTTTTGGTGTGATTTATCTTCACCACAATTGGAACACCTCTCCGATGTTTACAAAATTATTGTTATATAGTCTTCATCAATTTATTTGTCAATTTTATTATATATAAAGTTGAAATATCCCTATTCTTCATTTATTTACCCGGTTTCGGGATTCTCGTAATACTACACTTTTCAAAACAAATTGTAGGCTTTCGGAAAAGTGGAATTTTGTTGGGGGGTTTCGTTAGGGTTGGGTGATTTTAAGTAACACGCAAAAAAGTACTCGGGACATATGCTCAATAATTCGAAGATTAAAATGTAAATACTACTTGAAGAAAATTTAATTATTAGCTCGGTATACATGTAAAATAAAAATGCAATTGAATTTTCTGTAAAATACTAGCTTTGTTCGACCTATTGGGACTCAATTGAATATGCGATTTTTATACTGCTGACTTACCAATATTTTCTATCAAATGTTATAAAATCCCAGAAGCCACAATAATTAGCATGACCTGTATTACATGTACGAGCAGCCACTCCTATTCAGCGACATCTCCTTGTAAGCGGTCACGATAGATACCCCCCCCCCCGTAGAAATTCTATTGTTTCATCTCTTTAATGAACGGTCACTGTTTTAGTTATAATTTAACAAAATATCTCCCATTCAACAGCCATTGTTGAATGATGCCATCTTGTCCTGCTTCGTAGCACCTCCGGTCATCCGTTGATTAATAGTTAATTATCTGGCCCCCACCGATCAGGTAAAAAGAACTGTGAAAATAACAATAAAGAAACCCGGGATTATCTGTTAATTAATCTTTTGTTTTATTAAATGACAAATCCTGATCTGCTGATCATTGTTTTCAAACGTAACCAGAAACATTATTTGATAGAAGAAGGAGAAGAATCGTTTTCTTTACGTGTCACACATTGTACAATAACAATAAAATTACGATCTAAAATAAAAAATAAAAAAAAATAAGTGTACAATGTCCGGTCTGTAAGACCAACGAGACACAACAAGCATGATAAATCATCTACATTCGAAGAAAATAAATAAATACATGTAAGTAACAAAGATAAAAAAAAATTGAAACGTACTGACAATAATATTTTACTATTACATGTTCTTTAATATGTTAGCAATCACGATATAAATCGTTTGAAATAAGCAAATAAGAAAACATTAAGTAATTAAAAACAAATAGGCATATACAATAATAGTGATCGAAATGTCATCATATGTTAAAATATTTCACAAGGTGCGAATTGGTCATTAGGTAACATAGCTGGTGATTAGGTGCCAATGTTAGGAAATGTGGGCTTATGGTGGCTGCGGCGTTCCATAACTTTCGTCTCAGATCAAAGTAGTATTCACATTTGCACAAGAAGAGTCTCCTCCTCTATATTTGACGTGTGACAATAATTACATTTTCTGTCTATTAATAATGTCACTGGTTTTACAAAACGGCCAGTTTCTATTGCTAAAGGCAATGACCCACATCGTAATTTTGCTAAAACATTACGTTGCGATCTGTCGAGTATACATTTTACATAAGGTTCGACATACAATGAGTGCTTAAATAGACTATAATTATGTTCTTAATTTGTTGCAATTAATTAACCCCTTATCATTCCATAGCCCCTGATACCAGAGCCTACAATCTAACTCAGTTAGGCCTAGTGCATCTTTTAGAGATAAAAAAAATCAGTTTTGCGTATATTGAATAAATCCGGAATTAGGATTTGTAATTCGGACATTAACTTTATTACCGTATTATTCCAGGACTTCCCGAATTTAAAGCACCACGTCTTAACCTTACTAACCAGACGTGTTAGTTCTACATATTATGATAATCTTCTCCAGAATCTAATAATTTCTACTTTCTGTTTTGTAAAGTTTGATGTCCAACCCATATCACCTCGGACTGCCAAATTTGATTTTTTACTTCCCACGCCCCTTGAAAAACCGACATGCTCTATTTTTGACATTTGATAATGTGTGTGAGTTAGTTGTATTTTACGCCCGCTTCCACCGAGGTAATGTCGCAGACAATAACATGGTATGTAGACATAGTGCAGTATTTTACAATGTGGTTAGTGAAAAAGGAATTAAAAGAATCGTTAGATATATATATATATATATATATATATATATATATATTAAAACACTTCATATAACATGCTAATGTAAGGAAAGTTGTAACTTTATAGGAATGTAAATTTCGAGGAAAAGCGGTGCATGTAATATGGCGTAATGGACTTATTCATACGCCTGAACCACAAGCGTGATATAAAATTTCATTTTGTAGACCAAAAAGAAACAAGCCATCGTGTTCGAGAATATGCACCGGGAACTGTCTGATAATGTGACAGGGGAGACAACTACATTAAACGCCCCTTTGTACGAGATAGAAAAATATATAATTTCTTTGCATCGATTGGCGGATGCGAGGCTCTTGTTGTTGTTCGGGGTGTTCGAAACAATAAATGTATATGCGGCGTAGGTCATTGTTGTTTCATTTTGTTGGGGTGGGGTCGTCTGCCTTAATAATAAGAAGCCAGTTTACACTCGCCCCGATGACAACTAAATTGCCATATTCAGTATTGCTTATAATCTTCATCCGGATGTGTGCTACACTAAAAATACATAGCAATATTTAAATATTTTACACCCGAATACATGTTTATATAATTCACATCTTCGAGTGACTGTAGTAGGGTGTACTCTTTACACTTTAAGCATGAATTTGTTATTCACTGCTGCACTCAAGTGCTTGTAAAAAGAAACACTGTCGCACTATATGTGTACAAACCAGTTATTGTTTCGCATATAAATTGTTTTGTGCTTAGCATCGATTTTGTCCCTGATCAAAAGACCTGGACTCTGCAAGAAACGTTTCGCCTGACATAGATCACATAGTGTTCACCAATATTGATTTAAATGATAACAATCTAAACTTACAGGCTGATTCAATTCACATTAACCTATGTATATCTTTAAGTTAGTGTAAAACAAACTAAATATAAGTTATGTTTGAAGTATTAATGGGATGATGGTCAAATGTAGTGGGGTTTTATTTCTTAAAACACAAAAATTAGGGTATCCCATTATTTATTAAACCTTTTGGTGTAAATGCACTATAAAGGGGTAAAGCTCATCAAAAACACCGTTTAATGCGGCAAGTACAGCCAATCGGGTATTTAGTGGAAATGAATATCGGTTACATTTATTGGGTGTAGCCCTTTTTGGTCACAGGGAGGTGTGGTGGCTCAGTGAGTAGGGCGCTGGCGCACTATGCTGGGTGTTCAGGGTTGATAATGATGTTGGCCGAGAAAGTTCTATGGAATTTTCTAGCGTTGTTTCCCCTTGCCAGTTGTGCAGGGGAAACCAAGGTCCCGCGTACACTTTGGCGTGCATGTAAAAGAACCATTGACAGTTGAAATTCGAAATAGGAGAAGGCCGTAGCGCCGGTGTCCGGGCAAAATCTTCCTCGTAGCACACTTTATTCGCCAGTCGGTGGTCTGCATCATGTTATGGATTACAGTTATCTCCCCTTTTAAATTTTCTTCTATTAATGTTACATTTGGTATTGTGTAAAGTGCGCATGACTTAACCACGTAGTTGAGTTCCGGCTGAAAGATACGTGTACAAAATGTTGCCTGTAAATTATTTTATATCTTTATTTTCACTCATTATTTTAATATCAAATACATCGGGTTTATATTTCCATATAGGAGAAACACAGAAAAAATGTTTTATAGAAGAAATTCCTGACGAAACTATGGTAGTTGGTAAGTATTGTAATATCTGTACGGAACCAAACAACTGTCTTCAAATCACCCAGGCATTGAAAAAAGCGTGGCAACGTCTGTTACCAAATCACCCTTTTTTTTTGGCGAAACGACGTAGCAATTAACACTACACTTAGAGATAATATGTAACAGGCATTGCCTGAGTAGAGCGAAGCTGATTATTGTTAAATATAAAACCTTCATAATTAATTTTCTCAAGTGATACAAAAATGTTAAATAATTTAATTTTTCCAAATTGATTTTTATTTAAATCTAAATTGTATACATTAATTTTGTTTTTAAAAAAAGAACAAAAAAGTGTGAGAATTATTTTCATTGACGTCAAAAAAATGTGACGTCATTTATTAAACGCGTCATAGAAATAATTCTATGAGGCGCGTAATCTCGCTTGGGCGAGATTTGGTAAGTTGACATGCGCGTTGCCTGTTTTGCCCAGTGTATCCGGTTCCGGTCTGAATTTTTTTTAATAAACAGTCTGTGGGTGACAATTTCAGTTACGCTCCTGTGTTGCTTTAGAGCTTTGCTCTATATTAAACAAATTGTCTGTCTATCGTGTTTTTCACAAGGTTAGTTTTTGTCAAGAATATAATTTAATTTTTCTGGTCTGCTTTATTAACTTAGCCTTCGCGGTTCGCCTGCTGGCACAGCCATCAATTTTGTTTCGTTGAATTTTTTTTTTTAAGCAATACTGATCTTGCATCGTCTTAATTTTTTAAAAACGATTTTAGATAATGTACATGCAGTCTTATTTCAGGGAGGTATAAAGTGGAAATATTTGATAGAAATGTAAATAATTATGTACCAACTGTCTACGGCCTTGGTATGCACGTTGAAATTAGAGATCCAGATGACAAAATAGTTTTGTCAAGGGTAAGACAACAAACAAAATGATATGTTGGCTGATGAAGCAGAGTGATATGGATTAAAACAGTTAAAAAGATATTAAAGTATTTACAACCCAATATTGAATTGTATGTGATGTACCGGTACTAAAATCATCATATTTAATATTTAAGATCAGTTGCTCTGGAAAATGACTTTGTCTACATTATTTATAAAAACATTGTGAAAAACAAAGCTAAGATACATGTAATAACAAAGAGAAGAAAAAAAACGCAATATTAAACAGAACAAGTTCTGATTTCTGATGGTTGCATTACCGGTATTACAACTGTCTGCAGATCTTGGCATTTTTAGTCCATATCACTGAGCCTCACATACTGCTTGGCATGGTTTGATGTAGTCTTATGTATAGTACATGTATATCATTAACTATTGCTTGTTGCAGGTAAATATAAAGTTCAGGCATTTGATCCGAGTGTAAAAGACTATATGCCAAGTGCACCAGGTATAGGCATGTTAGTAGAAGTACGAGATCCAGAAGATAAGATTATTATGTCTAGGGTGAGTCTTGAGAGTAGACTCCAGACAATGTGATGAATGAGGGATTTACTGACTTGTTTTGTGTTTTTTTAACTGGGGATGGTTCTTTTTGTAGATTTTACCACCACCCAGTAGCAATAGCATATAGTGTGGATATTGATCACATTTTTTATCCATTTTTTTAAAAGCATTTAGAGTGAAAATATTATTGTTGTTATTCCCCATAATCACTCATTTCAACTGTGCTATAAGAATCGGCACTGTTCATCATTTATTTAGTTCAATATAGTTTATATTTCAATATAAGGTGGTGGTATTTAACCATTTTTATAGTCTGTGTCTTAATTTCAGACTAGAGAAGAACAATGTTCATATTATTTATCCACATTATTTTTACATTATTTTTTTGTCCTCTTGTGGTTGTGGTTGTACATGTATCTGTATTGTACTTTTATACCTCACCGAGATACGATTTGATTTGATTTGATTTTCCAGAATCGATACATGTATATTATAAGCAATGATCTTTGTAATTTATTATCTTCAACTTATGATGTAAAAAAATCATTGTTTTGCCTACACTATAAAAACTTAACTATCAGACACGTTGATCTTTATTTATTAAGAATTTCTATTAAACTGCTTGCAAATCTTGTATTTCAATGTTTTTAAACTTCATTTTTCCTGGTTAAAGGTGTTTCTTCAACTAGGTATATTATTAATATTTTGGCTAATAAGTAAATACATTTTTTCTATACTTACTATTAAGGTAGTCTGATTTACCGCATGAAACTACAAGTGAAATTGTAAATTGTATTTCTTGTGGTGGAGACCATAATTTCATTGAAATTTTGTATTTACATGTACATATGCTCGTTAACATACGTGTATGCAACTGTTCTTCCTTGCATCTGTAGTTTATTCATAATACATGTACAAAAATAACCCCAAAAATTATTTTCACCTGTTGGTGCACATACCTGTTTTAAAGTCAGTTGTTCATGAAAATATTAATAAGCAAATAAATGTAACCATTTTATTCATTTCAGACTTATGCAGCAGAAGGTAGATTTACCTTTACATCCCATTCAGCAGGTGAACATGTTGTATGTCTTCACTCAAACTCCACAGCTTGGTTTTCTGCTGGACAATTGGTAATTTTATAGATTGTTTCTAGTTTTTTTTGTGCCACACATAGAGCAAAAAGTTATTTCCAGGATGTAAACATGTAGACTGGGGATTATGGCAGGCTCCCAAGTATCCCACTGTTTGCAGAATTATTTGTGCTACCTTTAAGATCAAGATTTATCCATGAGATGTTCAACATTTACAAATTTTATAGGGTACTGGAACTAATGAAATGGGGGTTTAGGGTCCTACTACTGTTCTGCACCGACTGGTCAAATGAAGACGGGCATACACCATGCAGTGTGCTATGAGGGAAATTTTGCCCAGACAGTGACACTATGACCTATTCTCATATCGAAAGGGTTCTTTTAAGTTTATGTGTACATAAATGCTGGGAAAATTTGGGCACACAATTGTACTTTGTAAAGTTGTATAAAAAAAATATTGTGTTCTTGAATGTGTCCAATTTAACAGCAAGTTTATTATTTTTATGTTACAAAGAACCTAACTACATTTTTTGGGCACCAACCACCACCGCCCTCCCCCCCCCCCCAAAAAAAAATTCCCCATACGCCTATGGTTGTCAGCCTCAAGTTTAAAGTAATGTTGATGGTATAATAATATCCTGTTTAATAATTTCAGAGAGTTCATTTAGATATTCAAGTGGGAGAACATGCAGTTGATTATCAACAAATTCAGGCTAAGGATAAACTCAGTGAATTACAACTTCGTGTACGACAATTATTAGATCAAGTTGAACAGATTACAAAAGAACAAAATTATCAGAGGGTAAGTGTTCATCAATCAATCATAAAGTGTTTTAGAATCTATTTTTGCATTGATACGGTATGAGTAATGTGTAGTTGAAAGTAGGGGTGAGCTGATAGGGATGTATTAGTAAAACTATTGGCCGATACAAATACCAATACCAATTACATGTATTTGGATACTAAAATAGTTCATACATGTACATTGTAGTTAGAAATATTATTCATGTTATTGTTGAATAACATTTTTATCACCCACTGGTATAAAATGATTTATTGTCAGATTTCGGTGCAGGAACACCATTCTTCACAGGCTTAATGCACATACCTTTACTCACCTTTAACTCCCCTCCCAAACACTAAATAAACCCAAACTCATGTAATCTTTCAAGACTATGACTTTGATATTGTGACTTATTCTCTCAAATCATATACAAACAAAACCAATGTGACAGAAAGTGGAAAGCTTTGTTTTAAACTAACACAAATAGGGCTGAGATAAGTTGCCGGTCTTGATGAGTTTCTTCTTGGAAGGAAATATTATCCCTATTAATTAATTAATGTGAAATGGTAGAAGGCACTTACACTCTACTGTACATTGATTAAAAGTGGGAACAACTAAGTGAGAAACAAAAAATGGCTAGTAGTAATAGCTGCTAACAGTGCTATAAAAACCAAACTAGATCTAAGGCAAGGGAAATAACTAATTAAAAAATGTGTCGAACAGGTATGAAAGATCTGGGTTTCATAAACTTTATTTTATTACTTTTATTCTCTAAATAGTTTCTCCATATTATTTGATAAGATAAAAATGTACAAGGATTCTCTTCCTCGGATGAAAATCCTTTCACGTATAAGTGCACTTAAGTACACTTAATCTCTGAATTTTACTTTGTTATGAATTTCTCTTGAATTTCCAACAAAATAATTATAATTGTAATTCAAAATTTTGAGATGGCAAAATTTGGAGTTTGTGATGGATTTTTTAAAAATTTGAACCGATGGTTAATTTGGTCAGACTATTGAATAAGAAATGAAATGGTATCTAGGACAACTTTTCTACTGGTTGTTGCCTAGTAAACTCCAGTCAATGTTAATTTCCACCACATATTGTCGATGGCAGTCAAAAGGTCACGTCTGAGTTTTGCAAAGATGTCCAGCAGAGCCAAAAATCGCATAGAAGTTAAGAATCAAAATGTCATACAGAAATGTCACATCAAAATGTTGTATGTAAAATGACACATTTCTAAATATTTTCTTAAATATTTCTGTAAAAAATGTATGTGTAGCCGTATTTTGCTATCCACACGTATCTGGCTAAATATCTAGTGCAGATATAAGGAGTGAAAGATACATGTAGTTGTTTGTAATTTTATACAGCAAAGACGTGTCTCAGATAAAAATTCACCTTTACCTGCTTCAGTTTCATAGATTTCACACAGTAGAGAGGATCAACAAAATTTCATTAATATTTTAAGAACCATAAAACAAGACTGGCTACATTTGGTTTGATTGTAATGCTTTGGTTGATTTTTTCAAGGAAATATGACATTTTCTCTCTCAAGGGGGGTTGGATGGCTGAATGGTTAGCGTGCGCACGCTGTATCACAAAGTCTGTCATTGTGTCGACTAGCGTGGTTTCGAATCCCCAGTTGTACGTGGCAAGGAATAGGGTTGCTTGTCCAACCTCGTGGGTTTTCTCCGGGTCCGCCGGTTTCCTCCCACTGCTAAAGACCCCTACGCGCAAACGAATTATGTAAATAAAATTAAAAACCATATGTTAGTCCCGAAATGACCTAGTTTGTGTCGAGTGGACGTTAAACCCCATTTCTTTCTCTCTCTCTTTTTTCTCTCTCAATATTTTTGGGCGCCCCATATACAATATTTTGAAACGATACCTATAAAACCCTGTTTCATTGGCTTAGAAAGATGCCCAATAAAATTCTCATTCCGAAGAAGCAAAAAGGGGAAATTCGTAAAATATGCCAGATACAACCTTTTGACTCCCCACAGATGATATATTCTTTGCTAATTACTCTTTATTAATAAATTACAATAAAATTCTTATAATACATGTAGTTACTTATCTGACTCAAAATATTCTGATTTTATGTTACTAAGCTTTTTTGTGTTTATTTTCTTGTTTTAGGTAATATCTCTTTGCCTCTAATGGTGGTGGTGCATGACATCTTTTTTGTATATTTATTTTCTGTGGTTGCTAAGTCTGCCTTTTGTTCTTTTATTTAGCTCACTAGCTTGAAATACTCTAATTCTAACATTCAATATATCTTACTAATTACACAATGTCTAACAAACCAACATACTTATTTTCTTTTTCACTTGTACCAAATATGTTTGAAACTTTAAATTTAATCAAGTTGTGTAAAAAAAAATTAAGTGATACCATGGTATTTCTGATAATCATGAAAATTGGCAAACTGTTAACCAGTATTTGTCTTCTTGATTTTGGCATGATTTGATACTTTATTATTTTACTTATTTATTGTTCAAAATCATACGTTTGTATGAACATGAACCATTTTAATGATTATAAATTTTGGTAGAAGTTTAAAAGAATATGTTATTCTGTATTATTCTTTTAATTAACTACTAATACTCTTGTTTCTTTAACCTAGTTTATATCCTAATCTGAAAGGTGGTCTAATTTTCAATATAATTTTTGTTTACAGTATCGAGAAGAACGTTTCCGACAAACCAGTGAAAGTACAAATCAACGTGTATTATGGTGGTCAATTGTACAAACAGTCATACTTTTAGTCACAGGATTTTGGCAAATGAGACATCTTAAGAGTTTCTTTGAAGCAAAAAAATTAGTTTAAGTTGTCTTTCAGTTTTGTTGATGTGGTAATATATTAAATTAAATACTGTTAGTGTATGTAGATGATTGAATTGTGTTAATTTTTTAGAGATATGTTCTGTTATTATCTCTAAAAATATTAGTCAAAACTTAATTCAGTCATTTATATAAACTAAGGATGGTACAGCGCCTGTGTAACTTTTGGGTTTATACTTGTTTTGTTGGTTGCTTGAACAAGATGAATAACGTTGTACCATTATTTTAATATCTGTGTGGATGGAAAGAAAATGTTGAATAACCTTGATGGCAGAAGAAAGTTTTTGTTTGGTATATCATGTTTCCTAATAATCTGTCAATTTTCAGACTCGCGAGGAAAGATTTCGAATCACAAGTGACAGTATCAGTGTTCGTGTATTCTGGTGGTCGCTTGGACAAACTTGTGGCCTTATTCTTATTGGATCCTGGCAAATGAGGCATCTAAGAAAATTTTTTGAAGCCAAGAAATTAGTGTAATTTACTAAATAGAAATACCTTTGAAAGCAGATGTTTAAATATGTGCTTATTCATCCATAGCCTGTAATTCTTTTTTTAAAAAAATACATATAGATTACTTAATCTTGACATTAAATGTTAAATTTTTGTGTTTTGAATATTATTTAAGGAATGAAAAATATCAAAGTGGTGAATGGTATTACTTCTCTCATTTGTATATTAAATAGATGATGAATCTTTATGATGTATATATTATTATATCATATATTAATGTATGTTTTAGAATCATGTGTGAATGAATATTTTACATTTGTTTAATGTGTTGCATATTTTGTTTTCTTTTTTCTCATCCCAAATTAAATATGTCTATTAAAGTTTATTTAAGGTACATTTAGATTCTATTACAATATGTATAGTTATCGTCTCTATGTAAATTAGATTAGATATAATTTCAGGCTAATACTGTAACTATATGGTTATAAGTTTAAAGGGGTGGTTGCTTTGAAGTCTTATGTAAATGTTTTCTCAGTAGTTTTCATACAGTTGTTGATAAAAAAATCATCACTTGAATGAATAAATAATATTTTTCTCATTATACATTCAGTTTGATATTGTGTTATTATTATGACTGTTTATAATTTTAGCGAATAATAATATTCTTTTTCTGATTTCATTTGTCTGAGCTGAAATTGATGCCAGTAACATCTATTTCGTTGACTTGTAAACGATCGTTAATAACACTTGGTAGCTATTTAGTTGAAAGGTAAACTATGGTTAGGCCTACTGTTGTGATTGAATATTGATGGCTTTCGATTTTGGACAGTGTATATATATCAGAGTAATCAAGGGCAAGAACTTCAACAGTAGTCGTTGAAATTCAATAGACTTCTTCATCGTAAGAACATGAAACTAATTATTGGAGAGTTTTCAAATTCGAAAGATTTCTGTCAAAAGGATGAAAGCTTTATAAAGTCATTGAGGACAATATAATCAGAAATCATTGATCCTTTTTATGAACATAAACACTTTGTATAAATGTCAACTTAATTTGTTAATAACTTTTGCCATCACAGTGTCAGCAATATTTTTTAAAGCGATCAAGGGCAATTACATACATGTACTTTGAGAGTAATTGAAAATCATAGGCTTCTATGTCTCATGACATACACTGTGTATACAATAGGGTGATAACTTTAGTTTCTAGGACATCGCCTGTCCAACCTCGTGGGTTTCTCTGTGTCCTCTGGTTTCCTCCCACAGCTAAAGACCCCGAGGCCCAAGCAAATTTTTAAAATAAAATTGAATCCAGGGTCATAACTAGTTCAGAGCAACGAGGGGGGCGGGAAGTGTTCTCAGGGGTGCTGTAAAATTAACGGACAATGTATATCTATTGTTTTGCCCCTTTTGCGCGCCCCCCCCCCCCCAGTTACGGTTCTGATTGAACCATATGTAAGTCCCGAAATGGCCCTAGGACACCCACACGAGTTACCAAAGTAACCAAATTAATTATTGGAAAACTTTGAAAATGAACATAATTTTCATGTGAATTGAATATCATCCTCCTGAGAGTCAACAAAGAATTATTGACGGACAGGGGGAAGAAACGAACAGCCACATTTAAAGTAGCTAAGTCTCTAACTCAGTATCATCCAAAGTCTTTGACATTGAAAACACGAATTATTTGCCAATTCAATTTAACATTGATGTTGTGATCTTACCGGCAAAAGATGGGCTCCAGATATCCAATATTTAAGACAAAATAAACATTTTACCATTGGTACCATAATGCGTTTCAGCGCCATTTGTAACAAGGGACTCAAAAGAACGAGGTTAGACATATTTCACAAGTCCGGTCAAATGGTGACGCCATGTTCTTATCTGGAGAGCATGCACAATAAATACTATCGATGTAGACGGGAATAACCAGACGCTAGAGATTGCCATTCGATTAAGACTTTAGCCGTATTTCGCTGAACATAACTGATTTGAATTTAGAATAAAACGGAAACGATTGAATGTAAATCAGTTTATATACATTCATATTACATTATTATATGCGTTGGGACCCATTTGTGTCAATTTCTATGTAACAAATATTCTCGATTTAGCTCCTTTAAATGTGCATGGATACATGATGTTGGTATAATTGATAAGGATGTTTCTGTTTGCAAGACTATTACCTAGTTTGTGTTTTGTTTGTCATACTCATGTCCCTTTGTTAGGTGTTGCGTAAGGTGCTGTCTTGAATTACTAAATGGAATTAAATGATATTTGGAATTAACGCCCCGCTGTTCTGTGTCAACCTTGCTAATGAAGAAAATTTTGCACAGCGGCGCTAAGGCCTACTCTTATTTCGAATTGCAACTGTCTCGTCTTCTTTCACGTGCAGGCTAATGTACATTCAGAAACTCATCGGTACTACAAGGCCCCTCGTCCTGCACCACTGAAAAGTGAAACCCTCCGGAATCAATCTCGCAACTTTATGGTTAGTTGATCACCGTGGCTCCCTTTCATTTATAAATAACATGACCTATAATATACTCTTCAAAAAAAGTAGGGGATATTCAGAAACAATACAAAACTGCGGAAATGCACTGCTGTTTTTATTAGAGGTATGTTAATAACAGGCCAATTGCCTACACATGAACATAAACAGTTCATATGGGCGGCTTATCTGACGGCCCCATTTCACTCGCAAAGAGATACACTGTCAAAAGTGAAAATGGATGTTTTTTATTTTTGTTTTAATAATGAGTAATTGCTTCACCACTCCTCAGACATTCAGCAATTCGTCGTGGCATGCTCCTAATCAACCGTCCAATCCCGATTCGGGACAATCTGATCCACTCCTCTTGCAGTGTCACGGTCAATTCTTAGGCGGTGTCGTCCCATGTTCGTGAGCTCTGTCTGGATGATCCTATCAGTGTACATATACTGCCAATGATCAAAGTTTGAGGCATGCAATTCTTTTAAGTTGCGACTTGTTTATTTCCCGGAGCGAGCCGAAATTGCGAACGGCTCATTGGTCAGATAACATGACTTGGCGAAAAGCGGTCGGTTTAGCGGATCTAGTAATTCTAGACCTGATACATTCACCACACCGTGCTCCCCCATGCGCATGTATGCTACCAGACCGTCCTAGACGCGGGGTCTTTCGGTGCCCGATTCTACTAGTACATTAAGGCTTTCTCAACTAAAATAATTAAGCACATTAGTGGTTCGACCTCTTGTCCGTTAAATAAATGTTAATTGGTCACCAAACCATCGATACATAGCCACTAAAATTTAACATATATTCCCAAACAACCCCGAAATAATTTCCCTCTTAAGCTCACTAAAACAGGATTGGGTATTAATACAGTAACGGACAAAATATTACTTTCCACCGATGCAATAATTGCCATCGTCCGGAGGACATTAAAAGTAAAAATCTCTTGGGGATTAAACATTCGAAATACGTATAGCTCGCCGTAATATCATTAAGTCAATTAGCTGATTCCATATACAATTAGGCTAAACGTTTGAAGAATGAATAATCCAAATGACTTTATCACGATCCCAATTGATTTCGTCTATATGCTCGAGACAATTACGTAAAGTACATAGTACTTAAAAATACTAATTCGACGGTTGTGATAATATAAATTTTACATTACATCTTGAAGACGTGACCCAAACAGAGTATTAATTTCTGTGCCAATCTGCACATAATTAAGAGAAATATGGGAATACCCGTCAAAACCAACAAAAACTCAGTGCTGAAATATTCTGGGACAATATTGCCTCAAATCTAAAACAATTTTATGTAGCATCATTCATAAAAATGGATCAGAAACTGACGTAAATGATCTGGAAATTCAAAAACAAAAGTCTATTTGAGAATATTTAATTACTAGTACACTGGCAACTATCCCTTAGTTGTTAATTAAAAAGGCTATATCAGGGTATTTGAATAGTTTTATTTCGGTCAACAATCAAATAAATAAGTTTATATTTACACTATACAAATAAATAGGCAATAACAGACAATTAACAACAATTGATAAAATCAATAACAAAAAATAAATAATCTTAAAATCTGATAGGTCGAGATCGGCTAAAACATTTTTCTCTTTGTTTTTCTCTCGGTTTTTCTCCTGCTGTCCATGACTTCGATTTAACTCGGAAGTGGCGTAAATCTGCGCTGTGATCTTGGTGGAGCATCGGTGTATATGTTGGAGGTTGGCATAAACCCTAAAATGAGAGATAAAATAATTGAATAACTATGGCGGGTAGGGTCTGTTTATCTAAATTTTCAGTTTAAGAGTATTAGACACCGAGGAAACGTATCTAGTTAGTCTAGCGCTTATCCTGAGTTACTAGTACGAGCGTAGCATATTTTATACATGTACATCCAAACTTGATATTCTCGTAAGAACATATTCATCATCCATTATTGGGTTTAATGTCCGTTATTTTCAGCCTATAGTCGTTCGGTCAGTGGCCTTCAAAACCCGGTTGACTTAGCTTCATTGAAGCACCTAGCACCCAAAAGAGTACACGTACTTTCCGCGTCAGGGTCAACAGTCAATACCACTTACAAGTTGGGAATAAGGCATGAAAAAAAGAATCTTCTCGATACCCGGATCGGAAAGTCTAGAACCGTTACTAGTCGACAATACAGCATTTCTTTTTCAAGATTAAATTGTGGTCTGTGGCAGACCTAGTATTAAGATCGTAAACGTGGCATACCTCTGTTTGTTCATAAAAAGCCTTGTAACCACCATCTAAAATGTACACCTCAGGGTAATATAAACTTGGATAATTGTAGCTATTTAACAACCGATCTTGTGATCTAAGATACCGTAATCTGAAAAGGAAACATTGATTCATTTAATGCTGACACCGATTATTATTTTTTTTCTTTTATTAAATATGGGCACGAAATTAATTAATATATGAACGGGTGCAAAGGTATGGGGTCGTAGTCAGCTCTGGGTATTCAACAGGGGAATTATTTCCCTTTAATGACACAAAACATACCCCCGTCCTCCCACCACAATAATCCGATCCTTAAATTTCAAATGCTCAAAGTAAGATATCAATTGTTAAGATTAGCATCAATATTTCTATACAAATATGAGAATAGGGTGCGATCATAAATATTTAAGATGATTACTTACAGTCTAGGGGCTCTTTGCGAAGAAAATTCACAATGGAAGATGATAATTTTAGGTCTGTCTTTTTCCGTACGATGTAATTCAGCATCAATTGATTCTTTTGTGTAAATATTTTCTGCCCCTTGTATATGTCCACCTTTATACTCATATGGATATCTACAGTCAATAATTCTAAAGTCGCTAGTAAATCCGTTATATTTGCCACTAAGTAAATCTGCGAGCTGAAAAAATACGAGAGCATAAATTAGGGTTTGTGATGAAACATTACAAAAGAGAATATTCCCTCGTAGAACCTGCGTTTATAAACCTAGTGTATTTAATTATGTGGCATAGAGATTAACTAGGTGCACATAAGCAGTCACCGTTACAAGGTTTGGCCACCATCACCATTCATTTGGGTTAAACGTTTTCTGCCGCAGAGGTAGCAACATGTATCAGAATCTAGATATACACAAACTGGACGTAACATACTAGAATGTATGAATTCTACTACAGGAATCTGGAGATGCACAAACTGGAAGTGGTATACGTATTAGTAAGCATGTAACTATCCGCGCAACATTTTGTTCATCGTAACCAACCTCCTAATGTTATCCCCGGTCTCAAAATCCTGAACATTCACCAAAACATGCCCGGAAGGGCAAACCCAGTTCTTTCGAGTACACATCGACAATCAACAAATATCGCCATGCAAAAGAAGGACAGGGGAAGAGTGGAAGATATACAACGAATACAGGGTAAACAATCCTGTGTAACAATGGAAAATTTGGTGGTCTGATTCCGTTTAGCCATTAAAGGGGGATAACTCTTCAACTTTCTTTAAAAAGACTAGATACTTTCTCGAAGAAACAAATGTCAAAATCGACCAGCGGCTAATAGAGACCGATATTAATACAAAATCGGATGCTAAATTTTAATAAGAACTTACTGTCTGAGGTGTGATTGATTTGAGGTCTTTATGCTTGCCACATATAGTAGGAAGAGTGTATGGTCTGCTACAATCAGCTATCAATTCTCCACTGTCTGATAATCTATCAACGGCCGATTTAATTTCTTCTTTTCTTTCCTTCATTTCTCCTTCTGCAACTTCATCTATCCTTTCTTCCTTTATCATCTTTGGAACAAACTTACTTGGTTGACGAAAACACGTTGGTGAGGATGTAAATTCGTTTTCTGTCATCCGTTTTCTCATGTCTAAGGACAGACTTCTACGAAGACCAGTCGGTTTTCGAAGCTGAAACTGAACAAGAAAGAAATTTTATAAATCCACAGAATATGTAATAAGAAGGATGTGCTTAGATAAAGAAGTTCTACGATTTAGTTCATTTTCTATTTATTTGTGTAATTTGGTTCAATAGGAGATGCGATATGAAAGATTGACAGGTTATATATTTATATAACGTGTAAAGTATAGTTGTTACAATGACTTCTAATCGATTTCTGATTGATTGATTCCAATCTGTGCTTGTACAGCAATGTCTCATGCGATGCCATCTTAGTTATAAATGTTTGAATTTAATTACCTCCTCAGATGTAGGTGAACAGTTTATATCTTCCATTTCCATGTCGACGTCTGGACCCTAAAAATAAATAAAATATTAATCTTCGAGGCAGAACAAATGAACTATATGATTATTGTTTTCATTTGACTGGAAATCTGTGACATTTCGTAAATAAAAACTGAATATTGTCTAACATTTTTTATTTCCCTGCAGATTCGGTAACTATAAATATATAATATTTATGACAGCTGAATCGAATCTAGTCTGGATCTTGGGTAAATAAAGACGTTTGCCTCTAAAGAATGATTTAAAAAGTTCCCTATTTGATATTTCTGCACAAGAACTCACCCCGCACAAGGCATTGCTATCTTCTTCAAACGACTGATATCCTGACGTCATAGACTCAGAGGCAACGGGTCCCCCAGGGCTATTGAAGAAAATAGTAGCAGCGTCCATTTCACATTCATCAAAATCCATGTTGAGTTGAACACCTCCATCTGAAATATACATTTCATCATTTAAATTAACATAGCTACCCTGTGCATTGCATCATTTAATGCAATATAAAACTTAATTATGAAAATATGTGTTATCGTTTATCTTCATGATGTTATAAAAACGTACTACTATAGTTCACAAAACGTTCCATATCTATCTAATCTCCTGGTCTATATTGGCTGTCCAACAAGATGAATATTAGCTCCCTTAAAGATACACAAGATAATAATCCAAAGCCCTCGAACACTTTTTTACAAATGACAAGGTACGAACACAGGGTGGGTCTTATTCTAGAGCGAGATTTTTACCAGATGTTATAGAAAATCTTGTATGGTATTTTTCACAGTCTTGGCAAACACCCATCTGGCATTCTCATTGATCGCACCTTTTAAATCTAAATGTTACAAATACAGGTATCTCCATTTCAGACAACTTGACAATTAAACAATAGGCGCTATTAACCAGATATACCAGACGACAAAACATTGTGATCAGAACAATCACCTATTACCTGTTTACGTACTAATCATTTTTTTTTCTATGATTGTCAGTTTTATAAACAAATGTGAAAAATACATTAAACATTCAATATACAATAATTGAATCTACGAAATAAGTCGGAGGCAAGATCGTTTGTATTGTTTATGGCTCAAATATATTGTAACTCAAGTATAAGTAACGGATGTAGCGCACAAGACAGATTATAATGTGCTTATTTGAAATAAAATGTATTTGATACTGCTTTGCCATACTTTGATTTGATTTCCTGGTGCAGAGTGCAGAAGACTATTACACTATTTTCTCCTTATTGTTTGTGGACTTTAAGCTTGGTTCCCATGTCAAATTTTGTTGTTTAAAGATTTATCAAATAGCTTAAATGATTTGGCTTAAACTGACACATTTTAAATGGCTAAATCACTTTAGTATTTGGGAAAAGGATAAGCTGCTGTAAGTAAGCTCATAAGGTTGACATCTCGCATCCAAAATTGCCTGGGCCTCTTAAAGGCTGATGCCAAGAAATTAAAAAAAAAAAAAAAAAACACACAAAGATTACTTCAAACATGATACAGGGGTCATTATTTTGTCTGTACCCCTCTCTTCATACTACTTTTAAATGTATTCAAATATACTTTCCTTTCGTTCATACTAAAATATATTCAGTATCTTTTCGCTTTTATACACAGGTCAAAATTATATAGAATACAATTACTGTTTATAACTGAGCTTCTCTGATCTTTACGAAGCGTAGTTCCGAAATGACCTAGTTTGTCACGATTGGACGTTAAACTCAAAACGTCGCTCAGTAAAATACAATAATTGTATTCCATATAATTGTGACAGGTGTATTTCTAGTTGAATTTAAATGCCGTTGAAAAATGTGATATTATACTCTCTGGGATAAGACTGCTCAAGCGATACACTTTGATAGAATTATGTACAATATTAAAGCGTGTCACGACAAGCACCATTTAGCCTCGTTAGCATTCACTTTTTATGGGGCATAAAATTAATTTGCGTCTATGAAAACAAATAAATATATTTAGCAAAACATTGACACTAATAGAATCTGTCTGCTTTATATGAGCCATGATATTAAACGACTAATCTTATCACTCTACCATTCATTATAATCAGGATTAAACAGATTACCAGACGGATTAAATATTCAACGGGTTGATTAAGTTTATGCTATAATTAAATGTTAGTGAGTTTAACTCAGCTCGACACGCTTTGGTTTTAAAGGCACCATTCATTAACCTCTGTGGTATATTTTTATTATACCGATCGTTTCAAGGAACAACATTTAGGCTGTTTGAATTTTTCTAATTCTATAAATGATAAAAATATAAAATCGTCACCTAAAAATATACATGTTCATGTATTATAGCCTAATGTTTAGTAAATGAATTTGGAAACAAATGAAATGTAGTTTGTAACTTATTTTAAGATTCACAATCACCCTTATTGAAAATATTGAAAGGGCGACAACTCTGGCCCAATTGTCTGTATTGTCTGTGTTCAAGTATTATAGCCTAATGTTTAGTAAATGAATTTGGAAACAAATGAAATGTAGTTTGTAACTTATTTTAAGATTCACAATCACCCTTATTGAAAATATTGAAAGGGCGACAACTCTGGCCCAATTGTCTGTATAATCTTTAAAAAAAATTGAATAACTCATGACTAAAACCAACATATATCATTTCTTAAATAATAATCTCTAAAAGGTCGTTTTTTTTAAGGTGGCATTCACATAGGCCTTAACTTCGTTACAGATTGGTTATTTTTGCATATTAGCCCAACTGCTCAGTTAATATCCAAATATCTGTAAGTCAAAGCCGACATGTTTTGCTAGATAGTGTACAAATATTATAATTATTAAGGATTGTTCCAGAAACTGGAATGGAATATAATAACACAGATTAGTTCAAAGCCCTAACTTAGCATGATATTAAGGATTGGAAGAGGAAAAACATTTGCAAATGCCACTGCCATATAATATAACGGAAAGCAACAAGGGGGATAACTCACAAAATGTCTCCGCTTTTCCTTGTTTTTTTGTTGTGTTTTTTTTTTTCAAAGTAAGAAATGAGATAAAATGAATAGCTATATGCACTGGTGTATATTTGAAAACTCACTTACCACCATTCAATAAAGATGATATACTAGACATTGTGATTCACTGACTGTAAACGATGTTTATCCCTTGATGCACTAACGAGAACTATGTGCTGAATCCAGATCGCCTTGTAATTTATAACCTCATCAAAGTTTCTATAAACACTTCATGTAGACAATCAGGCTCGTCGATACATATCCAAGGAAACGGAATTGTGTATATTGGAGGTGGTGCCACACGAGTAAAATGTTTATAATCAAATTCATAGGCAACTAACTTTCATGAAAACACTGCAACGAATGATTTGATTTAATGGCGAGAAGTGGTTTTAATGTATAATAAGACAAAGTTCCAGCCTGTTGACCAGCCCTAATCTTCTATTCTATTGTTAAACTATTACTACGTCAGCAGGATCTCACCTTAGGTCGAGCATTCACCTGCTGACCATTGTCTCAGACAACCTTTGATTATACACCGATTAAAGTCCGATGTTAATTGTCCTGAGTAAAACCACCTTTTTACAATAACTCACCTTCAATAGATTTTAATCATCCGCATATTGTCTATTTTAGCCGTTAATCCGGTCACGTGACCTTAAATTTTACGTGAACATTTGTTAACAAGTAACTGATAACCAAAAGGTCTGTGGTTTAACACATGGATACTTTAATATCAAAAGGTAAATCACATAAACCATACTTATTATACCATCAAAGATTAGATGCAGATTGTAACATATGACAATATGTTTTATAAAACAATTACATCTCTTTATATTCATTAGAGTAATTAAATCGTGGGAACCTACTTTACACGTAATCTAGAGATTGATAACAGGACGTGTCCAAGATTTCTACAAGAATTAATGTTTATTTTTCTACTTTCATTTTCCTAGTTTTCCCATAAGAAAAAAAAATCCAAAAAATTTTACTCTAATCTTCAACTCTCATTAGATAGTTACCGTGGAAAATATTAGAAATCGAGGCAATATGTTTTCCTGTATATATAAAACGTTTAATTTAAGTTAAGGGAAGTACAGCTTTGTTTTGAGGTCAGTAGATAATCCAAAGTAATAATAAAGGAAGGCCAATAAGGGGTGTAGCTCGGAATAATATTATGAAAGTGTTATGTAATAAATTATACTAATATTATCATTTTGTATAGTAAACGGTTTGATCTCTGTATCAATAAACTATGGTCCAAAAATTTAATATACTTTCACTTGTATATTTTTGTATTGAGGAAAAAAATATCAAAGTAAATCATTAAGCTTTATTATTGTTTTAAACTAACATAGGTTGATCAGTGTTTTACATTAGAATAAATCAAAGATATTTTATATATATTCCTTACAAAAACATTCTTTATAAGCTACACTTTGTCGTATTTTTTGTTTTGTTTTGTAATTGCGATATACATGTAGAGTTTAGAATTGTTTTACATTATAAACCCCCACTCAATTTAAAAAAAAAAACAACTAAAAAAGCAAATATAGCCTTACAGCTTAATGAATGAAATAGTCTAAGATATATAACAGGGAGATGTATGGTCGCTTTTATTGTGTTTCACACGTATTTGCGATATTAAGCCAGGTTATCTACGTAAGACAAAACATAAATGGTATTGTAGATCATGTTAAAGATATTTAATGTCAGGAATTCAATGTTATAAGATGGTTTTCATTTTATGATTTTGCCAAGTAAACTGTGTGATATTTTAAACCAAACCCAATTATTATTAATGACGTCAAGTTAAAAACATACTTGCTAATAAAGTTGATGTCTATTATCATGATTAATCTGTTTATTTAAACAAAAACATATCACTTAATTAAAACTTCAAACCTTATCAAGAATACATATAATTAGTTTAAATCTAAATCTTGCTGCTCTAAAAGTTTAATACGTCTATTAATCCGTTTAATCCAGATTGAATTAAAATAGCCTAATAGGATTAGTCTAGTAGATATTAAAATTTTGGTGTCACAACAATAAAGATATGTCTGTTTCTAACGAACGTCGTAGATTTTTTTTATTATTTTACTTCTATATTACTTATCACACAATGACACACGAGGTAGCGACTAAAGATTATCTCTCCATGTCAATAAAAAATTATTTTAAGTTTGTAAGTTTATTGACTATTAGATTGATATGTGATACAATATTCAGGCGTAGTTATCAAATATTTATATTCATGTACACTTTGTGAGTATTACAATTTTTAAAATGTATTTTTGAACGTCTATGCACTCATGTGATATTATGGTAAATATAATATTTTTGGGTATTTACCATGAATATATTCCAAAGGAGCTATCAAGTATTTACTAATACTTTCAATACGAAATCTTTTTTAAATATCTATTCACTCCGAAAATAATAATATTTTTAGACATACACCATGGATATATTCAAATGGAGAGAGAGAGAGAGGGTTTAGCGTCCACTCGACACAAACTAGCTCATTTCGGGACTAACATATGTTTTAATTTTATTTCAATAATTCGCTTGCGCGTAGGGGTCTTTAGCAGTGGGAGGAAACTGGAGGACCCGGAGAAAACCCGCGAGGTTGGGAAGGCGACCCTACTCCTTGTCACGTACAACCGGGAATTCGAAACTACGCCAGTTGACTCAAAGACACCCCTTATGGTACAGCGCGCACGTGCTAGCCGTTCGGCAATCCACCCCTCACCCATATTAAATACTAGATAACTCCATATTCAAATGGAGTTATCTAGGATTTAATAATACGTTTAATATGGAATCTATCTTTGAATGTTTATTCACCCATACAATAAAATGGTAAATATAGTATGTCTAAACTCCCCCACTATTTTTCATCATAATTATATTTATATAATAAATTCCATGCACACTATAAGGAATAAAAATCGATTCTGTCAACAAAAAACGTACAAAAGGTTTTTCGAATTCTTTATCCATCAAAGCATACCACGAGTAATAGATAATATTACTGCTGTGGTTTTGGGATTACGAACCGGACTCATAAACAGAATATTACGGTTTAGAATCACGGCATGTGAGACGAAAAAACATGGGTATTTTATAAAAGGACGTGCCAAATGTTCCCGCAATATTGCATGTTTATTTTCGACTTTCATTTTTCTGGTTTTCCCACAAGAAAAAAACCCCAAAAACCCCAAAGATCTCATACAAATCTTTTGCCCATCAAACGAAAAATGTGAAAAAAAATATTAGAACTGAAAATAATGATTTTCTTTAAAAAAAATTTATATAAAATGTTCAGTTTAAGTTGAGGGAAGTTCATTATAAGACGCTGAAGTGTACAGCGTTGTTTTAGGGTCAGTAGTTAATCCCAAGTAATAAAATAAATAAAGGCCGGTAAGGGGTGTAACCCAGAATAATATTATGAAAGTATTATGTAACAAGTTACACTAATATTATCATTTTTATAATAAACGTTTTGATCTATTTATCGATGACCTATCGTCCAAAGATTTAATATACTTTCACTTGTATATTTTTGTATTGAGGAAAAAAATATCAAAGTGAAACATTAAGCTTTATTATTGTTTTAAACTAACATAGGATCAGTGTTTTACATTAGAATAAATCAAAGATATTTTATATATATATTCCTTACGAAAACTTTCTTTATAAGCTACACTTTTAATAGTTCCCTTGTCGTATTTTTTGTTTTGTTTTGAAATTGCGATATGGAAGTGATTATTGTTGTGTCACAAAAATAGTTGGTAAGACTTTTACATAATAACCCCTCAAGAAGTCTTTGTCAGTCCTTTTATAATGCATTTTTAGCTAGGTTCTAATAAAGTATAATTTAAAATTAAAGAAGGGTATATAACCTTATAAAATATTGCATGAAAAACGCCTAAGATAGGATAAGATAGGTCTTTTTGTATCAATACGTCCATTCAGGACAGCTTAAATATTTTTAAAAAAAGAAAAAAAAAGAAATGAAAATAGAACAAAAAACATTTGATCTAGTAAATGAGAAATATACAAAATAAGAGATCATTTCAACAAGCATCTTCATGTCCCTGATTAAGATGTGATATTCAAGAACAACATGATAAATTATATATGCTTGTGCCTTTCTTGTAGTGCATGGTATACAACCACACATTTCTTGTCACCTTTATGATGTGTCCCATGTATTTGAGATATTGTTGGTAGGTACATATAACTATTAAAAATTCTACATGGTATTGTAGATCGGTTTAAAGATATTAATTGCCAGGAATTCAATGTTAAAGGAGGTTTTGTTTGCAAAGTAAACAAAAAGTTATTACTAATAACGTCAAGTTAAAAACGCATTGGCTAATAAAGTTGATGTCTATTATCATTATTAATCTGTTTATTTAAACAAAAACATATCACTTAATGAAAACTTCAAACTATATCAAGAATACATATAATTAGTTTAAATCTAAATCTTGCTGCTCTAAAAGTTTAATACGTCTATTAATCCGTTTAATTCAGATTGAATTAAAATAGCCTAATAGGATTAGTCTAGTAGATATTAAAATTTTGGTGTCACAACAATAAAGATATGTCTGTTTCTAACGAACGTCGTAGATTTTTAATTTTACTTCTATATTACATTGTCAAACATGACACATTAGATGTCCATAAACAATTATTTATTCTAAAAGTTCGCAATTTTATTGACTTATTAGATAGATATAGGACAAATTGTAACAAGTTTCTATAAGCTGTTTTTCCTAAATCATTTGAAATGTAAGTGTCATATTCAGAGAAAATAATTTTCCTTTTCTGTAGGATTTTTTTTATTATACCCAAATGAACAACCTTACTTACTTTCAAAAGAGCTCATTAAGAACTTTGTCAAAAAATTCGAAATATTCTGAATTTCGATACAGGCCCTCCTTATGCTCGAACGAACAGATAGCTCACCCAAACAGGAAGCATACTAAATCCTCTTAAATGCTTTATTCCACTTTGTTGTTCACTACTTTTTGTGAAATAATTATTTTATTTTTAATGTGTTTTTTTTTCACTTTAAGATCTACTTCATCTCGGACTTCATACGAAATCTTCATAACAAAATCTGAAATTGGAAATAAAAAATCTATAATGCTTCACACAGAGCCTGAGAATATAAACCAGTTAATTCATACACTTCCACTTTATAAAATATAAGCTACCCCAAGTTAAACATTAAAAGAAAAGTCTAAATGGCAGTAATCTTTAACAAACATTTTAAACAAAAAAGTGATATTTTGTAAATTCTTGATAATAATAGTGAGGGTGTGGGGGTGGGGGTGGTTTGGGGTGTGGAGGTCTCGACAACACAATAACACGACGGTAGTCTGAACATGGATTTCACAACACCAAACTACCAGCATAAGATAACCTCGGGAAAACGTCATTGGAAATAACTAAACGAACGAAAAGGTCACATTTTCAGGAAGGCGATTTCT